TAAGAAAAGGTTTTATGTCCTACTCTGGCTTGTTTCTGTTTTGTCTTATTATTTTTAGATAACTATTTTTTTCTTTTCTTTCTTTCCTTTTTTTTTTTTTGTTTGAGACAGGGTTTTTCTGTGTAGCCCTGGCTGTCCTGGAACTCACTGTAATCCAGGCTGGCCTGGAACTAACAGAGTGCTGGGATTTAAGGCAGGAGCCACCACCACCAGTCCAGATAACTGTATTCTAATGATAAAGAAAGGGTGTAGATTTGAATGCCTGGGAAAGATATGGGAGGAATTGAAGAAAGAAATATAATTAGGATATACTGTATTTAAAAATAAAAAACTATCTTCAATAAAAATGTAGTTTTTAAAAAAGGTTTTATGAAGGCTGAAGATCTATATCTTTACAGTGATAAAGTAAGGCACTATGCTCAAATGTCCACTCCCAATGTTTTGCATGCTTATGAAGCTCCCAATAAAATGACTTGCAAGAGACCACATAATTCTTTAAAGCATTTAAAGGAAAGCTAAGCTGTGGGCTATTGTATATATACAATAATTAGCTTTCACGAGCAGATACGGTCGTCTGTTGTGGAATATTTCTTTTCACTGTATAAATATGTGTTGCTATGATTTGCTTGGTTTAATAAACAAGCTGACTGGGGCTGGAGAGATGGCTCAGAGGTTAAGAGCATTGTCTGCTCTTCCAAAGGTCCTGAGTTCAATTCCCAGCAACCACATGATGGCTCACAACCATCTGTAATGGGGTCTGGTGCCCTCTTCTGGCCTGCAGGCATACACACAGACAGAATATTGTATACATAATAAATAAATAAATATTTAAAAAAAATAAACAAGCTGACTGGCCAATAACTGAACAGGATAAAGTTAGGTGGAAAAGGAGAATGATGGGATGAGGAAGGACAGAGTCAGAGGAGTCACCAGCAGACACAGAGGGAAGAGGAGATGAATGTGCCATGCTAATAAAGGTACCATCACATGGCAGAATGTAAATAAGGAATATGGGCTAACTTAAAATGTAAGAGCTAGTTAGTAATAAGCCTAAGCTATTGCCGGAGCATCTGTAATTAATATTAAGCCTCAGAGTGGCTATTTGGGACCAGGCAGGTGGGACAGAAAAGAATCCCAACACTTGGAATAGTTATACAGGGTGATTTATTAGAGCTTATGCTTCCAAGATTTGGCAAAAAAAGGTTGGGAGGCTGCTAAGAACATGGTACCAACAGTTGCTGCATGAGCAGCCTCTGAGATGATATTATGACACCTGGTTTACATACTAAGGAACTAATGCCCAGAGAATTTACAGTGTTTATTTGTTCTTGTTAAGTAGGTAGTACGAGACAGAGCTGTAACTAAGTATTAATTAAAAAGAAAAACCACATGGTGGCTCACAACCATCTGTAATGAGGTCTGGTGCCCTCTTCTGGCCTGCAGGCATACACACAGACAGAATATTGTATACATAATAAATAAATAATTAAAAAAAGAAAAAAATCAGTGCTCTACTGATGTGGGAGTGATTTCTTTCTAATCTGATGTTTTCATTGGTTAATTAATAAAGAAATTGCCTTGGCCCATTTGATAGGCCAACCCTTAGGTGGGTGGAGTAAACAGAACAGAATACTGGGAGAAAGAAGCTGAGTCAGGCAGTTGCCGTGACAGATGCAGGTTAAGATCTTTCCTGGTAAGCCAGCTCGTGGTGCTACACAGAATATTAGAAATGAATTAGATCAATATGTAAGAGCTAGCCAATGAAGCTGGAACTAATGGGCCAGGCAGTGTTTAAAAGAATACAGTTTCCGTGTAATTATTTTGGGTATAAAGCTAGCCGTGCAGGCAGCCGGATGCCAGGAACTAGCCCACCGCTCCTATTTCAACACTCTACAGTTGCTAATTGCCCCAAAACCCATGTAAATACGTTCATGAGACTAGTACAGGAAGATAGATAACCAACACCAATATTTTGAAGGAAAGCAGTCAAGCTATAGTTTCTGGCCAGTGAAGGTTCATGGAGCTTACATTCTAGAAGCGACAAGAGGGAACTGAGTTATCTGACTTAATAGCTCCTCAGGTCAACTCATTCTTAATCTATAGAAAACCATCAAACAGGACCAGCTGAATGGCTCAAGAGATAAAGGTACTTGCCACCAAACCTGGCATGAGTTCTATTCTTGGAACTCATGGTTGAAGGAGATAACTGACTCCAAAAGATGTCCTTTAACCACACAAGTGCTATGGCATACACACATGTATATACAATAGCAAATGGAAGGTTTTAAGGAAAAAAAGGCATCAAATGATTTCTATTATTGGCACCTCTTCATATATCAGATAAAACCACCATACAAAGGTTTCTGGCTATTGATTGTTTCAGCATGCTACTTTCCTACCAAAGCTCTACTTCTTCCTTTGAAGGCTATTCATGTCTCTGAGACTATAATGAAGCCTTGAATTCTTGGACTGTTCCCACAAATTCTTCATCATCCAAGAGAAAGATACATGAGAACATTTCACTAGTCTGCAATCTCATTTTCTGGACCTACCGAAGGGGCTGGTTTCACACCTCTCTGCAAGGACAAGCATAAATGTCAATGTGTGCTTTTCACTCAACACATAAACATAGAGAATTTTTTTGTTTGTTTTTCGAAACAAAGTTTCTCTGTATAGCCTTGGCTCTCCTGAAACTCACTCTGTAGACCAGGCTGTCCTGAAACTCAAAGATCTGCCAGCCTCTGCAAAACAGAGATCCACCTGCCTCTGGCTCCTAAGTGTTGAGATTAAAGAGCTTTGCCACCACCACCTGGCTGCTTTTTGCTTATTTGTTTGAAGTATAGAGGGTTTTTTTTTTTGTTTTTGTTTTTTAAATTTAATGTTTCGATGTGGCTAGCGATCTCATTCTATCCTATCATTGAAAATGGTTCTACATACTGAAATGTTAATAATTTAGAATTCCTTGGTCCTGTCATTTAGAAATTTTACTTTAAAAAGAAAACCTTGTTGCATATGGTGGCACATGCCTTCAATCCTTGGGCACTGGAAACTAAAGAAAAAGTTCAAGGACAGTCTGTTATTGTGTTACTGACTAGTCTGGAGCTCACTGTATAAGAGACTGTCTCAAAAACTCTATGTATGAGGTATGGGGGGGAGGGCAAGTATATATGTGTGAGGTATGGGGCAGAGTATATATGTGGGGGGGTCTATTTTGACAATTTAAAGAATATCAAGAATATTAAATTTAACCAAATGTATGTACTGTGGATATAGCAAAATGTTTTCTAACCACACTGTCTGTTCTATCACTTGTAGAACATAGTTATTTTGGTGGCTCAAACAAGTCTAACTATCAAGCTGCCATGAACTACTTTTTGTGCTACATCAAATCTATGTAAGGAAAAAGAAGAAAACTCAGTCCCCATCAGGAACTAGGAAAGGCAGGACAAGTGACCTATGCTGTATTCTCCCAGTGCCAAGAGACAAGCAGGAGGGCAAGGGTAAGCTGCAGACCCCTGCACCAAAGCCCCAGCTGAAGAATCAACAAACTAGCCCAGGAAGCATTATTCACAGTCTCAGTGTCACAGTTCTGGTCTAACCCTGTCCACTGCAACAAGCCAGACTATCAAAATGCAACAAGATGCCCCAAAGCAAAAACTAAAAGGGGGGGGGAGGCAGCAATTTAACCCAGAACATCCAGGGTAGTAAGCACCTGGCTGCACTTACAATCATGGTCATGACAGGGAACACTACAAGTTCATGCAAGTTATCTGACCATCATTCTACAACTGTTCTAACACTAGCACAGATCTACATCAGAAACAGAGATAGCCTATACATGAGGGAGGCGTGTGGTTCAGTAGCACTGCACTTGCCAGTCAAGGGTCTGGGCTCAAGTCCCACCATGACAAATAAACAAGTGCCATACCTCTTACAGAAGAGTCCTGAAGAATGGCATATAGCCTCACACAGATAGTTCTCAAGTAATTCAAGAAAATAAATTGTGAATAGTTAAAAAAAAAACTACCAAGAATATTTAACATCTGATACTTAAGAATCAGAACCCCAGTTCTAGAGGGATCCATCTAGAAGGATCAATCAGAACTGGTCTAGGGGCTGGAGAGATGGCTCAGTGGTTAAGAGCATTGCCTGCTCTTCCAAAGGTCATGAGTTCAATTCCCAGCAACCACATGGTGGCTCACAACCATCTGTAATGGGGTCTGGTGCCCTCTTCTGGCCAGCAAGCATACACACAGACAGAATATTGTATACATAATAAATAAATAAATATTTTAAAAAAAAAATCAGAACTGGTCTGTAATACCAACTTCTGCTTCTCCAGCCTCTGGCAAAATTACTACAACCAGACATTCCCGAAATGTGGACAGGAGGGGAACTCATGCTCCCTGAAGTAATTTGGTCAAGAACAACAGCCTTGCATCTGCTCACCTGTCAGAACCATCTGAAGTCATGGTGTAGTTAATGATTTTTATTATGCCAGATACCACTTATTTTTAACTCAAGCAGGTCTGTAATTATCGGTACTTTCCAATGCTTATTAAAACTGAGTGTGGGGAAATGTTCAATAGAAATGATGGAGAATAATGAAAACCCAAGTACAGTGGCACATGCCTTCAATACCAGAATTCAGAAGGCAGATCTCTGAATTCCAGGCCAGCCAGGGTTACATGCTAAGCCCAAGTCTCCCCACCCACAGAAAAAAAGAATATCATGATATATTCACTCATCATGCTTTACAATCAATTAAAATGATTATGAGTACAGTAGCAACATATAAAAACATAGACTCAAACAAAAAGGCTAAATATATTTTATCTGTATTATACACACATATTTAAAAATCAGAAGAAATGTCTAAACAAATAAAACTGCTTGGCACATTAGTTTGTATGCTTCTGTTTTATACTACTATTGCCAAAATGCTACTGTGATAGGCAAAATGAAAAAATTTTATAGATACAAACAGTTAGCATACTTACCACAGTGGGATTGCCACTACTTATCAATTGGCTGACTTCATGAAAAATGCTTTTGCAGTCAATTGACTTATCTAATGATCCTCGTTTTACAATTACTGCTACTGCTAATAGAATCTGTTCCCGAACATACTTTTGGAGGCTGCAAAACATAAAAAGTGTGAAAACATTTACCTATATCTACTATTAAGATAGGTGGCACCTCTGAGTGACATTACAAACATCCATTCCCAGCCAAGGCATTCTGTAAAAGCCTATTGATCACAAGAGCACGGAGACTTAAATGCCTTTTCGGAACCCCTTCTTAAAGGTCAGCCTACAGAAACATCAACCTTATAACCTCTCAAATGACACAAAGATGTGCCCTTGCACCCTTGGGACAAGTCACATCTCTTACCATAGGCAACAAGACCAATCCCAGATTTCCTGGAAGAGTCCCAATGTCCTATTGTCCTGATTAATTATTAATAATGCTTACCTTTTCCTTTCAAATGTGTTTCAGTTTGGACTTAAGTTATACATACGGTTCGTGCACTTTTAAAATTTGCGACAGCCAAGTGCCTTCTCTTCTCTCTGACCTCACCCTTCCCATACACTCAGTACAGCAGGCATATGCAACTCCTCAGTTCCTGGCTCCACACTCTTATACTGCCAGGCCTATGAACGTCTATTCCCTCTGCCAAAACTGTGGTGCCACTTCCTGCAGAAAGCTATCACTAAAGGCTCAAGGCACCAGCATGTGGCATGACTTCCCTGTTACAACTGAACTCTATCCTGAAGATCACCACCCCACTTCTAAGCACACCAGTATATGTAAAATTCAGAATTTACCATATAGAAGGCATTTATTGAACATTTAATTTCAAGCATGTGTCCCTACATCAAGACTAAAGTCAAAATATTCCTACAAAATACAGATTCGGGCCGGAGGTGGTAGCATATGCCTTTTATATCAGTATTCAGAAGGCAGAGGCTATTGAACCTCTGAATGCCAGCCTATTCTACATAGCAAGTTCCAGGCCAGGCAGGACATCATAGTGAGACCCTGCCTAAAATGGGGGGGGGGGGGGG